TCTGGTAATATTTTATTTATTGGCTGGAATTGGTGGGTAATGTGTTTTAGAGACTCTGGGTTCTGTTATCTTCTTCAGAAGAAGGGGCCCCCACCCCCTCTGCCAGCTAGATTACAGGCTGATTACCTTGAATCTGCGATGATTCGTGTTCCACTGTGGTACGCCATGTTTCTCTTAGGTCGACTGCTCAGTCTCTATGCAGTCTTTCCTTGGCCTTTCTTGGTTGTAGTAGAAAAACTGGAGCTTGTCCCAGATCGCCAATCTTAACCCAAAAACCCAGCTTGGTGTCCTTGGATAATTCCAATTCCTAATGACCTCCTGTGATTACAGAGTAGAAAACCTGTGCGTTTTCTTGACTATAATCTTTATAGGAGCAAATCGCCAAGCATTTCTTCCTCAGTTGAGTGGGTTCAAACTAACAAACATTTGGTTAATAATCGAATGTGGTTAAAAATCGCTCCTCAGCATAGGCAACGTGCAGGCACAAGGGTGTTTGAATCCTTGGCAATCTCAACTCCTCTTTAGAAGTAGATGAATATAAATAATAAATAGGTACATTTTTTCAGAATTTTTCTCCATTATTCCCTTCAGGAAAAAAGCTCTTATATTTTTATTTTTCAATTACTTAATGCCTGATCTTTAAACTATGGGTATTTGTATATTCCAATTACTATAATTTTATTTTCTAATTTTATGCTACCCACAGAGAATGTGAGCATTTCACACATATGATATATGCCGAGATAACATGAGTTTCTTAACTAAGCCATTATGGATGCTGTACTTCTCATAATTAGATTAGAATAACTCCATAGTAAATTAATATCAATTATCCTTGACCATCATTGCAATTACTTCCGTTTTGAGTAAAATCGTTGTGCATACATATGATTCTATCAAGGTGCGTGTTTATGCATATAATTTGTGCAATGTTTTTTTAAGGGTTTGGAGTAAGATATCATTCATGTTTTATCATTGCAATGCAGTATTACTTTTATTTAACCTATCTGAAAAGAACTGTATACCAACTTCTTTTTTTTCCAACTTCATATTGTACAATGTTTATATCATAAAGAAGAATAGATTGTAATAAAGCCAGTTAGTTTCATTTAAAAAAATAGACAATTATAGACTATGCTCTGAGTAAACTAGAGCCCTTCCCTCAGTGAGCTTAGAGTGGACTCAAGGAGACTCATACTCTTAGCTACATCTTGAAGCTGCATGGGCACATAGCGGGGGATCTTGACTGAGATGCTGAAAGTAAACCATGAATCTTGCTGTATTGAGAGATTAAAAAGTGGAATACCTACTCAACCAGATGCCCAAGGAAACCAGACTTTAGGCATTTTATGCAGTGGAGATAGACCAAACCTAGCAAGAAGAAGAACAACAACAAAACAGCTGCAACTGGGGCACACACTAGCTCATTCCCTAACTTAATTGGCTTGGTCAGCTCCATATATACTGAGCAAAAGGAAAGGGGGAGTTACTTGGAGGAAAATAAAAAATAACATTGTGTAGAGCCTTTACCTGCATAAAGGCAGCATCTTTCTCCCGCCCCAACACACACACACACACACACACACAGAAATGGACTACATATGCAAATAGTGAAGAAAACACAATCAATCATCTAGAGAAAAATTAAATAAGAGAAAACCTACACATAATTTGGATAATGCACTAACATACAGGATATTAAGAGGAATATGAATAATAAGAGGAGCTCTCAAAAGATCCTGGACAAAATTCAGTATCATTTCATTCCATTTTTCCATGAACTTTTTGAAGTCTCATATTAAAAAAAAAAAAAAAAGTCAAAATACGTGGAAAGAACCAGAATTTCACCAAGCAATTAAAATCTAAGGTAAGATCAATATTCATTTTTTTCCTAACTGAAAAGGTAAGTATTCAGGGAGTGAATTCAACGTGATTTAAACAGGTTATTCATAGCCAAATCAGAAGGGAACAGGAAGATCAATTAGAAACAAAGAGCAAAACAAGTAAGTAACAACAGACCAAAGCATATTGGAGTGCGCAGGACCAAACAATAGGTAAGAAGGAAGAGTAAAGAAGACACACAAGAGTGTAAGCAAAACAGAGGACACAAGCAAAAGGTCTAATGTAAATGTAATTGAAATCCCAGAAGCCAATGATAACAAGAATTTTCATCACTAAAAAACAGATGAATAAATAATGATTCTTACCAATGGTATGTTAAATACAGCAGTGGGAATAACTAATCTATAATTATATGTAACATTCTGAATTAATCCTACAAATATATACATTTAAAATATTTCAATGCACAAATAAATACTGGTGCTGTGATTCCTTCTATATATGAATTAGAAGAACAGGCGGAGTGATTCTGTTGGGTTCAGTATTTGGCAAGCCTTCAAGCAGCTGGAGAGTGAAGGAGAGAAGAGGAGGGGCTTCTCGATGTCTGAGCTGGGGGCACGGCTGGGGATGTGCTTCGTTTTCCGTTTTCTTCACGCCGTTTAACTGTATATGGGTATCATTCTTCAATTACACATTTTTACATGATTTATGTATTGATAGGAAGAATATACATCAAAAATCCTTTGGAGATCATCCCAGAGACATGTCCTACCTTTTTACAGTTCCGTTGATGAAGATTTAGTTAATCAAGGAACTTAATTCTTTGGTTCTTATTAGCAGCAAAGAGACCACACCTCAAATCATATTGTTTATTTGCCTGTCTTCCCCTTTTTTTGTACAAGAGAAAAATTATGTGATAAAATGATAAACATTCACTCTTGAACTTATTTACAATGTTATTGTGTTTACATGCTTAATATTTGTGTCTTATAAAATGTTATCAAATATTACAATACTTGAACATATGGGTAGAGATTAAAGTAACTCTTGTCCCCAAGAATAGGTTTAGAAGGCTATCATTTATGTTAAATTAAACATTTTATGATGTAAAAATTCATCTTCTGCTACCTATAAAGAATTCCCCAGTTTGCATGAGCTATATATTCCTTTATCGCACTTGGGCATATATACAGTAAACCCTCTCCCTAGTAAAATTATGACCCTCTGCAAATAAGATAAAGAATTACATGTGAAACATAGAAAGACTTTTAAAGGAAATGGGGTTTTATGCCTCTGTTGTTTCAATCAGGAGATGTTGGTGATACAACACAAAGTCCAAAGAACAGGATATGCTACTCTAGATGATGTGGCAAAATATTTCAGAGTGGTCTATCACTGTATCTCACACAATGATATTTAGCGAAGAGTAAAATTGCCCAGCCCAAAACGATGCATCATAGGCTAGGAATAAGACTCAAAGCAAACTCATTGTTTTTATTAGACTGGAACTTATAGGAACCCTAGGGAGAGAGTAGAAAAGTCCCTGGGGGTGCCAAGCTTGCATAGCTTTACAGGAGTAGTCTCATCTTTCTCCCAAAGAACAGCTTACCTTGAGTTGAGCAGCCCAACACAGTCACTACGAACTGTACTGCCACTGCTAACCACAAGGTCAGTATGAAATTCCCAGCCACTCTGTGGGAGAAAGATAAGGCTTTCTACTCCCTTAAATTATTTGCTGAGCAAGTGATCAGAGAAAGTGGATTATATGAAGAAGAATGCTTCGGAACCTGTGACGTGCAGAGGACACACCTTGCTGGCTGACAGTGAGGAGGACTGGAAGCCCGTGCAGATGGAGGTCAAGGATGGCAGCCTTGGGATGGGTGACAATTCGGCGTAAAGAAGGCCCAGATCCTCACAATTGGACCAATAGGAACATCGTGAGAAATGGAAGAAAGATGAAGTCTCGCTTGGGTCCACAGTCGATGCTCATGGAAGCCGGAGTCAATAAATCAAAAGGCAAGCATTGCGTAAATCTGCTGCACAAGACCTCTTTAGAGGATGCTACCTTGAGGATTAAGGTGCATGTGACCCAAGCCATGGTATTTACAATCACCTCATATGCAAGTTGGACGATGAGTAGGGAAGACCAAAGAAGAATTGTTGGGGTGCTGGCACCGAATATTCTAAGTACCATAGACTGCCAAAAGGACAAACCAGTCTATCTTGGGAAAAGTACACCCAAGGGCTCTGTGGAGGCAAGGATGGTGAGACTTTGTCTTCAATACTTTGGACAGTTGTCAGGAGAGACCAGTCCCTGGAGAAGGACATCCTGCTTGTCAAATCGAGGGACCTTGAAAAAGAGGACAGATGAGATGACTGACACCGTGGCGGCAGCCATGGGCTCAAGCATCGGGAACTGGTGAGGGTGGCCCAGGACGGAGCAGTGCTTCCTTTTGCTGCACACAGGTCGCTCTACCAAACAGCAACACTCCCTTGATTTCCAGCCTCAGACCCCCCAGGGGAGTTCTTTGCTGCCCTATGGGGCGCTCTAAGTCAGCCTCGGCTGGAGAGACGGAGCACCAGCCAAGTTTGGGTCAGTTCACTAGATGTTTCGGATACTGCGCTTGCACTTCTTGAAGGTTTGGGGCGCCCTGCATCAAGCGAGTCCGTTGGTGGCAGTTGTCAAATCGCGTGTGCTCCCTCCGTGTGTCACATTTTGATCGTCCTCACAGATTTCAACTATTGCATAATAATGTTTCACACTTAATATATGGCAATATAGGACCCACAACACCTTTGTGCCGTGGGAAACTAAAATAGTTTGTGACTTGATTCACTGAAATAATTACCTTTATTGCGCGAGTCTGAAACTGACCCTGCACTATCTCTGAGGTACAACTGCCTGCATGTTGTACAGTGTATGTGCGCGTGTTTTCCTCTTAGCGGTGTAATCGTCACTCTGCTACCAGGCTTAATATCTCTGGAACGTGTTCTGTTACCAATCAAGGCTCCCAGAAACGGAAATGGTTGCCCTAGTTGTTTGCTGGCAATACATGTAAAATATTTCATTTTCAAATACGTGTCAATTTGAATCTTAAAATTCTCAAAGATATGTATGCGTGTGCCAAGGTGCTTAGACGTATTTAATGGTTTTCTAGGAGTGCATCGAAACACGTGAACAAGGACCTCGGCAACCTGGAGGAAAACAAGAAGCTGGAAGAAAACAGTCACAAAACGGAAGCCTAAGAGAGACGTTATTACAGTCGTCCAGGTGGGTAATCTGTACGTGTGGCTTACTGAAGACATTTCCACCAGGGAGATGCAAAGCCTTCTTAGAAAGGAAAAGGAAATGTCTTGACATTGAGATACTTCACAGTTGCTGCTTTTGAAACAAGAGAAGATTTTCCCGGAGAAAATGTTGTGACTCAGAAGGGTGTTTTTAAAAGAAGTAGGATCTCATAAGTCACCCAATCTTCCAAAAAATAAGCCTTACCCTCAAATAATCGAAACCAATTTTGATATTTGAACATTCAGATAACATTTTGTATTCTGATGCCAAAAATTTTGCTGAGTGTAAAATATTGGGCTTTTATAAATTGACATTTGGTGAAAATATGAACAGCTTCTAACGCTTCAACACTTCTGAGAATAACAGATTTTTTTCATCTTAATCTAAGGATCTACTATAGAGATAAACATGAAATAAATGTGATTGAATTTATACACACATCTAAATCACTTTAAGTAAAAGATGAACAGACTTGCATAAATACATATGAATGCATATATGCTTTTGTAATTATATGTGTATGTGCATGTATATGCATAAATATATACATATATGTATGTATGGAGCCTTGGTGTTTCAGTGGCTAAGCTCGGAGCTGCTAACTGAAATTATTGCTTCAAACCCATTCCGTTGCTTCCGCAGGAGAAAAGACGTCTCCATCTGATTGTTGTTGTTATTTTTATGCGTCAGAATTGGCTCGATTCCAGTGAGTTTCGTTTCTCTGGGTCAACTTTGATGCATTGTGATCTTGTCGGACAGAGAAGAACTTCCTTCTGGGGCTTCCGAGACTGTCATTCTGACGGAAGCGGACGTCCACTTCTCTCTCTATCGGGATCTCCTGGGTTCAGACCGCTGACCTGTCCAGCTACAGTACAACACTTAAGCCAATTTCCCAGGGATATGTACTAAACCCTAGGAGGCACTTTTTCTGTTCTTTATAGTCACTAGGAGACAAAATCAACTCAGGGGCATATAACAACACCATATCTGTGTATATGTACACAGGTATATACATGTACATATGTGTGTATAGGTATGTCTGTACATAAGTGTATACACATACGTATGTGTGCATATGTATGTCTGTACGTAAGTATGTACACGTACATATGTGTGTGTATGTATGTCTGTACATAAGTGTATACACATACGTGTGTGTGTGTATATGTATGTCTATAGAATGCATCTTATCAATATTAGGTCTGGACTATAGTCATATATATATGCACGGTCTCAAGGAGATGGTATTGTTATTTGCAGTTTTTTTTTCTTTCGATTCCTGTTCCAGCCAACAAAGGAGCCATTTGGACAAATTATTATGGGTATCCTTGAGAATGATTGTTAATGCTTCTTATCTTGATATGGTAAAAATGCACAACGATCACAGTAAACCTTGGGTTCATTATAAATAAACCTTAAATCACAACTTCAGTAGGCCACCTGGGTTAATTCCATATTAAGAATGGGAAAGAACTATAATCAAAAGGACGCACTCAAAAAAGAGACCCATTGAAATAAGGTCTCCGTTCAAAATCCAAAGACCAGGCTCTCACGCTGACTCGGTGATAGGTGTAGAAACTGGAATCCCCCTGCCACCCTGCTTTCTGCTGGAGGCCAAGCGTGGGATGTTCTGAGCTGGTTTTCATTTGTTTGTTAGTTGTTGTAGAGTTCGCTCCCCAGCATTTTGTAAACATAGACTTTTTTTAACCTTGTATTCTTTGAAATTGGATAGAGTACGTCCTCAAAGGAAACTGAAGCTTGAAGACAAACCTTATAGAGTAGAGTGTGATTTGAAAGATAAGTGCATTTAACCTGAAGATAAATGAAACATTGCTGTAAAGTGCCTTGTAATCTTAGTATAAATGAAGCCGTTTTTTATCAAAAGAAAAACTGTCAATTATTTCTAATTTCTTTTTTATGTCTTCATTTTTTGTTAGAAAGGATGTAGCAATGCCTGGGAATAGTGGGAGACTCGGGGACAAGCGAGTTTTATAAAAAGTTTCCTATGGAAGGGATTCCTATCACATTTACTCAGGGGCGTATTACCCAATCAACAAGGTAAACATTGGCTTACTTGCCTAATTGAGCAATTGCTAGTGAACAATTTCACCACATGTCCATGCTTATTGGGGACTCTATCCTGTCAGGAATCATAAATTTGAAAAGAGACTTTAGTTCTGTAGAAAGCTGCTGTGGGGTTGGAAGACATGCAGATGCCAGCCATGCTCAGAAGCAGAATTTTTGATGTGGTGAAAAGAATATGAAATTGTTTGCTACAGATTAGTAAATAGGTATAATAACTCTGTGTTTGCCTGCAGATTGGGTAATCCGAATTGCTTTTTGCTCAAAGTCGCTGTTGATAGTAAAAACGGATTGCTGTGGACTTTTATCTAAATTATGTTTTTTTTTATTATTTCAGAGGGAAAAAACAAACCATATAGAGAATTGAAGCATGAACGTGGATTGTATTTAAGACACATACAAAGACACTGGCAGCAATTCATGGTTCAACTATTGAGCAGTTCATTCTACCAAGCTGTCACAGGAATTTAGAGAATGATCTCAAGTAAAACAATGAAGTGAAATGACAATAATGACAAATTTTGGCAGCCATGAAAATAGGTCATGTTGTGTTAGGTTGTTTTTGGTTGTTTGTTTTTTCTGTAAATGTCTGCACTGAGGATTTCTTTTGGTTTGCCTTTTATGTAAATTTTTTACGTAGCTATTTTTATACACTGTAAGCTTTGTTCTGGGAGTCGCTGTGGATCTGATGTATAATGGAATGTTTTTATTTCAATTGTTTCTATGAAGAATCTGAGCAGGTACATTTCTGATTCTGATTGCTATCAGCAATGCCCCAAACTTTAATACAAGCACCTCAAACCCAAAGGTGGCAGCTTGTGAGGATTGGGGGCGTCCACATTGTGCGTGTCAGAGCTCTGATGTCTATCACAAAGCAGGGGGAGGCAGAGAGTCAGATTAAAAAGCACCATACGAGTCTATTCTGTGTCCATGCCACCAGCTGACTTTCAGAAGTCAAATCACACAGGCATATAGACATACGTACAGAACAGTGTAACTCCCAAGCTGACACTTTGCCTATTCTGGGGAGAACAAACAAATAAACAAACAAACAATCCAGACATTGGGTAGTCCTTACCTTTAGAGACGACACTACTGGTAAATGTTTCTCAGTCAAAGGAGAAAGCAAACAACATGTGAACGAACGACAGTTTGAGAAAATCATGGATAATATTCCCACTTTCATGAATCACAGTGTCAACCGCTGTCATTTAAAATTGTTTTTAAATCCTTTGGGTTAGCCACTGCCTTAAAATTATTCCTAGTTTCTTTTTAAAAAGATATCAGTCAGAATTGGAGATTTTTAACAGTGGTCATTGTCAAAGCTGTGTTATTTTCCACAGAATATAGAATATCTATTTTTTTCCGTGCGTGTTTTTGTTAACTACGCTACAGATATTGAATGCACCTGGAGATAATTTAGTGTTTTTAACTGGTACATAATTTATCAAACAGTACATGAATGTGTCATAAGGAAGTGTCTATGTATCTTTAGTTACATTCAGATTTGTAACTTTATAAACATGTTTTTTGCTTGAGGAACTTTTTAAAGTGGTAGTGAAAATGGAAAGTTTTTAAAGTTGACTGGATATGGGACAAGAATTCCTTGTGATTAGACTTTTAAACTTTGCTCTTTCAAGCAGAGGTTTGTTTCTGGGAGAACACTGCACAGCCAGACTTGTCCCAGGACTTGCATAGCTTTATAGAGGGGAAAGTGAACGTCAGATTTCCGGCTATAGAACTGTGTTCTCTGAGAGGGAAAAGGAAAACTGGTGTTTGCTTTTTAGACCGATGAACTAGGAAAATAAGAAGGCAATGAAAATGGAATGAAGATTAAAATCAGAGGGTGGATAGGAATTGTATTTCACTACTTCTGCATTATTCAGAAACACATGTTATTGTACATTTGTAAACCATTTACTGTCTGGGCAGTAGTAACTGAGTTTAATAAAAGCTTCCTGTAGTACATTGGTATGGATTAAATATATGAAATATTCTATTAGACTCGATGCTGTATAAGATATTATGGGGGAAATGAAAATATGTTATTTTGCCTCTAAACTTTGATTTATTGATGTTTCATTTGGCAGGGAAAAATTGAATCTTGGTCAACATTTAAACCAAAGTAAAGGGGGAAAAACCAAAGTTAATTGTTTTGCATGGCAAAGCCATTCTGTTATCTCTGTAAATACTGTGATTTCTCTCTTTTTTTCTTCATTTTTTTTTTCTTTAGAATTTTGTTAAAGAAAATCTAAAATTTAGAAACACCTACTCTCCACAGTAAACCCTGAGCACTACAATGAAATCACTTCCACATAAATTGTTTTTCCTTTTTTGTTTGGTATGGGAGATCAAAGCTTCAAAGTCTAACTTCTAAGATATATTTTCAGAAAGAAGCAACGTGACAAGGGAGAGAGTTATGCTACAATTATTTCTTGGCTTCTAACTCCAAATACAGCAGTCAGAACCCAGCGTTCAGAACGGCAGAGGCGGAGAGCCGTGGACGAAAAGCAGGAGGTTGGCTGAGGAAACGGGCAGCATTATTACTATGGAATTGATGCCTGGTTCAAGGGCAAGGCGCCTTTGCCGTATGCACAGCAGTGTGGGGAAGAAGATAACTCACGCTCCTCAACTCTCGAGGTTTCCTCTTGCCAATTTCACTCTCTGACAAAAAGAAACAGGCTTTGCCACTTCAAGTTTCACTCCGTATCTGTGATTACAGGAATTGTATGTGGAAATGGATTAACATACCCACCTATGCCTAAAAGATAATAAAACTGAAACATCTCTTCACGTACCTCTCACAGCTGTCTGCCTCTTGTCTAAGCTGGGAAGTCCCTGAGTGAAAACAAATGACTATCTTTATACAGTGCTATTTCATCTCCATGTCTTAGGAATAGGAACAAACCAAATCTCCACACCTACCTACTATGCCAAGGGAGCACCCTGGGTTCATCCTGACGTGCATCAGGTAGTATGATGCATCCGTACTTATTGTGGATGACCTGGGTGGCCGTCCTGTGAACTCCACGAAGGGACATTTCCTAGGGTTTCAACCTCTCATCAATACACCTTTTCAAATGACTTAGCATTTGAAATTGAGTAAAATTAGGAAATATTAGTTGATGGATGAATCCTTTAAAGATGGATTGTTCCATCTATAAAAGGAACTTCCAAGAAGTTCCATCATAAGAGAGATCACATTGTGCAATTTCCCAACTCTCTTTGGATTAAATTTATTAGACGGTATAGTGTTTCATAAAGTTCTGGTTAGGATACCTGTTCCGCTCTAGAATGTTAGCAGCAACCTCCAAGATTTAAGCCCAGCTGTTGCGCCAAGTGAGAATGATGAGGCCATCTGCTCCCACAAAGAGGTGGAACCCCTGGGCAGGGTGGCTGTTCATTGAGATCTACTCCATGAAAGTATTTTGGTTTTTGTTTAGTTTTGTTTTGATATTGTATTATACGTGTTCTTTCGACACATATATTGCTGTCATGTATGAAGTGCCTATTATGAGACAGGCAGTGTACTGGAGTTTAAACTACATTTTATTAAAGCGTTTCAATTTCCTGATGCAGGTGTTGCCATTCCCATTGGATCGATTAAGAAATGCATACAACTTTGTCTACTAACAAAGGAGGTGGTTGACCCAGAGCTCCCACTGAAGACACCAGGTTCAGGGAGCTCAATCCTCTGTTGTTTATCCTCCCCATTCTAAGATTGTACATCTGCCTCTGCTTGGGGCAGGAACCCAAATGATAGATTAATACTGAATCATGTGCATGCCCTCCTGGTATGAATTGGCATTCATATTCAAAATATTGTGAAAATAAAATAAATGTGTGCTAAGTGCCTGGAAAAAGATAAATTCATAATTGCTAGGGTTTTGAAAAATCATTACCCCATGTCTAAAGAACCAATTGTAAGTAACTGTACGATTTTAAAAGTCAGTGTAGTAGATTTGGTTTCACAGGGATCAGATAAGAAAACCTTTCTAGTGATGTACTATTTTCAGTTTTCTTAATCAGTTTGGGCTATGTCATAGTTGGTGTACCTACCTATATAGGATAGGCACGGGAGGCATGCCCGAGGAGAGAGCAGTGGGACCAATGGTCCTGGGAGGTGAGGGCGGTGGGTCAAGGGGGTGTGTAGCAGGCTGCACCATGGACAGCGGAGCAACTGGGGTGTTGTAGTCCATAACAAGGAGGAGATAGGGATCCAGTGTGTGTGGGGGGGTGTCGTAGCAACAGCAAACTAGCTAAGAGGAGGTACCAATGGGCAGAAATAAGGGGAAAGTGACAGTGGGGCAGGAGGAAGGTTAAAGGAAACAGAAGAAGGACCTAGGAAGCAAAGCAATGGATAGAGGTGTAAACATAGTGGTGAAATACATTAATCCACAAAAATAGAGGTATTGGCCCATGTACATATGTTTATACAGCAATACACTGAGGTAGGAGATGGACGCTAGGCCTCTGCTCATACCCTCCTTCAACACAAAAACACTTTGTTCTAACAATTCGGCAGTCTGAGATGTTCACCCTCCCGACACAATTGCTGAAGACAAAACAGGTGCATAAGCAAGTGCTGAAGAAGGCGGATGGTGCCCGGCTATTAAAAGATATAGTATCTGGGGTCTTAAAGGCTTGAAGTTATACAAGCCGCCATTCAGCAAAGAAGCAGCAAGTCCACATGGAAGAAGCACACCGCTGGTGCGATCATGAGGAGTCATGGGGACCAGGTAAAAGGCATCAGCAGACACATAACAAACAAATACATTGTTGAGAACAAGGGTGGCTGGAGCGGAGATCCAAAGCACATCTGTAGACAGTGGAACAATCTCCCCACAGAGGGGCCACAGGGAAGGGATGAGTCACCTGGGTGCAGTAAAGCACTGATGAAACGCTGTTCCTCTGGTTCCTTGAGGCTTCCTCACCCCCCACTACCATGACCCCAGTGCGGCTTCTCAATTCAGACTAGACCAGAACATGGACACAGGTATAGAAAGGGATGGGAGCTCATGACACACAGATTCCAGGAACAGGAGTGGGAATAGTGATACCAGAAGGGGAGGGGGAGGGGAAGGAAGAAAGGGGGAACCGATCGCAATGATTGACACACAACCTAACACCCCTCTCCAGGAGGAAGAGCAACAGAAAACATGGGGGAAGGGACACAGCGGTCGGTATGAGAGATGAAAATAATAAAAATGTACAATCTATCGGGGGGTTATGGGGAGTAGGGGGAGAAAAAAAGAGCCAATACCAAGGGCTCAATAGAAAGCAAATATCTACAAAAGAATGAAGACAACATATGTACAAACATGCCTGATTCAATTGATGTATGGATGGTGATAAGAGTTGTACAAGTCCCCAATAAAGTGATTTTTTTTAAATCTTGGGGAAAAAAAGAAGAAAACCTTTCAAGTTAGGTATAGATTTTTATTATCTAACCTACTTGATAAATTTTTATTTTAAAATCCACTGTACTACAGGCATCTGAAACAAAAAATGAAAGGATTTTTTCTTGCCACCATCCTCATACATTCACTGTGTATTCACCATCCTCCGTGCAATTCAATCTCTTGTTTCCCTCAAATCTTATTTTTTCCTTACAAGTACTTCTCACACACACAAATATTCTTTGAGGATGAATGCATGGGCATGTGATTCCAAAATAATATTCCATTCTCAAGTTCTTGGACTTGTCCCCGTTTCTTAACCAGATCTGGGAAAAGGTTTTACCCTGTGATGACTCAGTAACGTACTGAGAGAAAGGATAATTCAATTATGTGAGTATGTGCATGCATGCCCATGCACGTGTGCACAGGAAGACAGAGGCATGGACATATGCCCACATTTGGGGATGTTTTACCTCATTTTCTTTCAAGAGACATGATCTACATATCAGGAATGGAGTTATTAAAAAAATTATAGAAATACTTTGCCAATGTAAAACAGCTATGAGGTGGACATTACCTTAGCTATTCATATAGTACTACTATTTTGATAGGAGGCATTCTAAAATGTAACAGGTACAATAGCACATTAGACATAATAGTTGCAATGAAATTGTTATGTGTACACCTGATGTTATAGACTCTGGTCACAATGTCTCGATGGCAATGGGCATACTACAGGATAGCACAGAACCAGTCAGTGTCTCATACTATTGTGCTGTAAACCAGAATAACCCCCCTAGCAACAATACTTAGCAACAACAACCAAAACATAACACACAAAAGCAAAGCAGGGCCTCAACACAGAGTAGAGACTATGGTCTTAGAAGAGATCGTGTTTAATCAATTGTGGAAGCTGACAGCAATTCAATTAGGCCATTTGGGAACTAAATAGTCAAAATGAAATCTCAACTTATTTATTTATTTATTTATTTTTAGCCACCCCGCCCGCCTGCCCGCGAGCTGGCTGGGGTGGGCGAAATCTCAACTTTTACCTTAAATATTGTCCTTCTGATTCTATATTATCAAGTAGCCGAGAATAGATCGAGCTCCAATTAGAGCTTAATTTCTACAACATCTGAGATCTTTGCTTTCACACAAATAAAAGATGAAATTTAAGAAGACTTATACAACTCTTTGAATGCTTATCAGTAAGGAAAACATATTATTCGTGAAATAAGTTGTAGTGACTACTTGAAAATTGATTCGCAGCACCGGATTGGCTTATTAAGGAAACAATACGTATGCTAGGAGGGGGTTGTATCTAAACGGGACAGGATGCTAAACTTACTGAAAACACAATTGACTTAGAAATTTCGGTTTCTACATCACTGATAATAATGGCTAAGATACTTTTTCAGCGTGGTTAGGATAATCCACCAAAAGTTTCCATTTTTGCATTATGAGATTAACCATTGTCTTGAGAGACAGGTAAACCCAAACCAGACACCGCCACTGAATCAATGCCAAAGCATAGTGAGCCGCTAAGAGAAAGCGGCACTGCCCTCCTAGTTTCCCAGACTGGGACTGTGTGGGAGCAGAAAGATCCAGCTTTCTCTCAGGGAGTGGCTGGTGGTTTTGAATGACTGATCTGGCATTTATTAGCCCAACACCTGACCACAATCGTAATTCTTGATTTTGATTGTAAGAAAAAAAGTGTTTTTGTTTTTTTATTAAGTTTCAGGCTCTCTTATAGTGTCCTGTGATTTTTCTTTTTAAACAAGGTTTTTGCTTTATAAATAATAGTTTCACAGGAGTACTTAATGGATTGTAAGTTTTGGGGGGGACATTGCAACAACATAAACACAAACAACAGATAGCCTTGCCTCAATCTCTTAGTCGATGGATCTGTTGTTCGAGATCTACTGATGGCTTTGTTATATCCAGGACATGGACAGGGAGCAGCGTTAGGGACGCTTAGATACGAGCAGATACCTTGAGGAAGTGGATCGTTGGGACTGGGGGCGCAGGGACGACAAGCTCAGTTGGCACCACACGGTCCACCAAGACAGTGTTCGACATCCTGTGTGGGTAAGCTATGGCTCAGACCTGAAAGCGCAGAAACCCCTTGTCTGTCCCCGTGCAGAGAGCAGACGAGTAAAGAAAACCGAAGAGACCTGGAAACAATCGGTCCGATGGACGTAAGGAGCATGGGAACCTCACCCTCCATCCCCCTGAGACCAGAACACCCGCTTGCTGACCATTGACCAACTGCTCTGAAAGGGACCACCTTAGAATGTTCTGGATACAGGGGGAGGAAAATGTGGAACAAAACTAAAGCTCACCTAACCATACCAGGCTTACCGGTCAAACAGACTGGGGGGACCCCAGAGGCTTGGGC